AGCCTGGGAACACTCAGCCAATCCCATCCCAGAGATGTTGCCCAGAGAAGCTGTGGCTACCCCATCCCTGGAAGTGTCCAGTGTCAGGTTGGACAGGTCCTGGAGCAATCTGGGATAGTGGAAGATGCCCCTGCCCATGGCAGGGGGTAGGAGCAAGATGAGCTCTGAAGTCCCTTTTCAACTCAAATCATTCCATGATTCTGTGATCCATTTTACACAAACTTCCCTCTGAAGCACACCAAAGAGCAGCCTTGAACTCCCAGCATGGAGCTCGCAGGCTGCTGCAGGCTCAGCTGAGCTAAGGGAGCTGCAGCCACAGCCTGGGTGGCCTCAGAGCAGGTGGAGCTTTGGCAATGACCAATCCCTTTGTGATCCCATCCCCAGAGTGTCCCCTGGGCTGGTTTGGGCCGAGCTGCCAGAGCCGCTGTGAGTGTGACCACTCGTGTCCCTGTGACCCCGAGACTGGCAGCTGCAACATCACCCACCACGGGGCACTGCAGGACCACTTACACAGAGGTATGTGACTGCAGGGGGTGGGGTTTGTATAAAAGCTGGAAGAGCAGATTTAGTGCATAATGGTGTTTGCTTAGCCACCAACTCTGCTTTACCTTGCTCTTCTTTAGTGGAATTTTACACCCTGCCCCATTTTATTTCCCTCTTTGTTTTCCAGCTGGACAGTGTTTGGCTTCCCAGAAAAAGGAAAAGAGCAAAGAAAAGTTCTCTCTGTCAGAGTAAGTGTTTGGTGCTCACTGTACACCTCAGAGGCTGTCACAGAGCATGGGGAATGTTCAGTCTACAGAAAAGGAGGCTCAGGGGGGACCTTGTGGCTCTGCACAACTCCTGACAGGAGGGGACAGCTTGAGGGGTTCGGGCTCTGCTCCCAGGGAACAGGGACAGGAAAAGGGGAAACGGTCTCAAGGTGTGCCAGGGGAGGTTTAGGTTGGATATTGGGGAAATTCCTTCACAGAAGGGTGGTCAGGTAGTGGCACGGGGTGCCCAGGGAGGTGGTGGAGTCCCCATCTCTGGAGGGATTTAAAAGCTGTGTGGATGTGGCAGCTGGGAGCATGGGTTGGTACAGTGCTGGGAGAACTCTGTGATCTTGGAGGGCTTTTCCAACCGAAATGATTCCATGGTTCTGTCCTGCCTGAGAGCAGGCCCACAAGCTTGGGAGCACAGAGAAGGGAGGGCAATCCTCTGCACACCTGGGCACACAAGCCACAGGTGAGCTGCTGGTGATGTGATCTGTGTGTCCCACAGAAGCTCGTGGCTCTCCCTGAGCTCTGCCCTGGCCCTGCTGCTTGTGCTGAGTGCCCTGGGGAACGTGGGGCTGGTGCTGCAGGGGCGGCGGCGGCAGCAGGACCGGGACTATCGCTACTACCCCCTGAGGGACATCAACGGGGACACCCCTCGCAGCCCCACCTCTGCTGCCTGGGACCAGGAGGATATTCAGGAGCCCGAGGACACTCAGGACCCAAACCAAGAGTTCCTTTAGAATCATGGATGGGATGAGGTATTTCACCCTGCATTGCCCCTCAGCACCGACTGGGAGCCTCAAACTGCTGCCTGAGGAACCTCAGCCCAAGAACTGCCCTGTTGAGGCTGTGGTTTCCTTTCCTCTGCTGTCCCAGCACTCAGGACTGCAGCATTAGGAGATGCAGGACACCCCTTGGGTGAGGGAATTCCACAGCTGCAGCAGGAAAGGAGATGGGCTGGTTCCTTCCAAAACTTGAGGGAAACAGCTGAGGGATGCAAGTCACAGGCACCTCTGAAAGATCCCTGCTCACCCGAGCAGTGCTTTTTAAATGCTAGTTAAACTGCCTCTAGTACAAAGCTGGGCTTAAGGGTATTAGTCAGTGTCTGCCCTTCCTTGCTAAGCTCAGATTTTAATCAGAGAAGTGACCAAGTTTGTTCTAAAATGTTGAAGCAGGTGAAGCACCCAGTGCCAGCAGAGCCCTCTTCTTCCAGCCGTGGTGGGGGCTTGGGTGACACACAGGGCTGTGACAGCCCCCGCAGGGCTGGAGGGTTTTCTGACCAAGCCTCAGGCCAGAGCAGCCCCAGAGCGTGATGGGTGCTGTGTTTTGGGGCAGTTCCTGCACCACAGTGCCAAAAAAAAGCCCTCTCAGGTCCCAGGTTCCATTTGTGCATCTCTCCAAGTCCCAGGAGCCAAAGGCTCTGCCCAGCTCCGTGGGCTGAGGGACCCTGGCACAGCCTGGAGCTGCCCCCGTGGGGAAGGGCACAGACAGGGAGAGCCTGGCATGGCTGGCGTGGCACGAACTAGGCTGCCCTACCCCAGCTGGGCACTCCTCAGAGGGACAGGATCTCAAGCACCTCCTCTGGAATCTGGAACACGTCTTGCACAGTTACGTTCAAACAGCGTTTGAGTTTGCTTCCCCGTGAGGGAAGCCCAGCCTTGGATGCTGCAGAGGGGCGAGAGCCTGAGCCCCACACATCTTTATGCACTCACTCCCTTTTTACCTCTCCAAGTAAAGGATGTATAATTTCTGTGCCAGTGTTGGCACCAAATCAGCCTGTAACCAAAAGACACTATTTTTCTATGATTTACAGAAACTTGAATAAAGTCTTTTAGTGCTACCTGCCTGAAACTCCAAATTCCTGATGTGCAGCTGCAGAAGGAGCTGATCCCTTCCCAGTTAACCTCAGCCACCCAGTGGAACCCAGGGGCTGTTTTATTTTTAATAACACCCACACTGTAGAATGTGCTGTTCCAGCTCACTCTGTGCTAGGAAATTAAACAAAAGATGCTGGTTCTGTAGAAAAAAAGACCAAACATTTTAGTTAAAAAGAAGGAAAAAGTGAATACGAGCCTTATCCGTGCTTCTGGGGGCAAAGAGTGCAGCACACAGGCTTGAATTTTCACTGCCCTGCAATTTCAACAGTTGAATCAAACAATTCCACGTGTTCTCAGAGATGTTTTATTTCCCACATACCCAAAAGTACAGCTCTACCAGGACCCACAGACACCATCACAGGAGGACATTTGTTATTTCAGTGCCCCGCAGTGGGCTCTGAAGTTAGAGGGTTTTGGCTGAGAAAAATGAGGATTTCAATGTATAAAACCAAAGCCAGCTGCAAAGGAAAGAAAGTAAGTGCTACTAAAAAAATTAATGCCCATTTAACTTAGGTGTAACTGAAATCTTGAAAGTGGGTGTTGGTGCCATTAAAAGCCAGCAAATGTGACTTGACTCCAATTTCACCTTCCAAGAGAGAAATAATCAGATGCAAGGAGCATCACAAAGATGTTGGAGGAATATTAAAGCTAATTGCATGCAGGAATCTTTGACAGCCACTGTCAAGTAAATCTCTAATAGCTGTTCCTTGCATTAATTGCTCACAGTACAAACATCTGGGACATGAAAGCAGTGTGAGCTCGTAAAATGCCTATTGAAATGAGGGATTCCCTGCCTGGAGCAGGGTTGGCCTCAGCCCCAGCAGCTTCCCAGCCCAGTGTGGACAGCTGGGCTCACTACTTCCCACTGGGAATTGTGAGTAGATTGTGGCATTTCAAACTCTTCTGCCGACAAACCAAATTGGGATGACAAACTGTTAGTCACAGTTCCTGAAAGGGAACAGACGGAACCGAAGTGGCTGAGCAGAGGAGCACAGCTGCATCTCAGTCACTCAGGATTCCCCAGCCTGGTCACCGTCGGGAATTCTGTTTCCAGCAGTGAGTTCAGGAGCTGAGGAAGGATGGAGCTGCTGCGGTGCGTCCCTGTGAGAGCCCCCAGAGGCAGCGGTGACAGCTGCGGGGCTGGAGCCACCCCTGGTGCCCCGGGGGCTCAGCCCTCCTCCTCCTTTTCACACCGGAGAGCAGCAAAACGTGGCTCAGCACTGTGCCCTCAGCGACAGCCGAGGCCATCCAACATCCATCCTCACACTCTGTGTTTGCCCTTCCCAGCCCCGGGCAGGGCCCAGGGGATGGGGCAGAGCTGGGGAACTCACTGGCAATGGCGCTGTCACATCTGGCTGTATTTAACTGGGACCTCTGGCACAGCCCTTGGCACCCTGCACAGCGTCCTGCACTCCCCCACCACCACAGGAATGGCACCAGCTCTGAGGTAGGTGTTGTGTTTGCATAAAGAATATCTGAAGCAGGGAGAGCCCCAATGGACTGGGAGCCAGTTTTTAATTAGCAGCTCCTTCCCTGCACACAGCCTGAGCTCACCGGCCTCGCTGCTGGGGTTGGAGCAGGGAGGGCTTTGCTGCATCACCCAAAATGAGCCCATTTCCTCAGGTTCTGGCTTAGGAAATTTCTGAGGATCCAGAACCCCTCCCAACCTCAGCTCACTGTGAAGGAAACTCTGAGTTTATTTTCTAAAGCACAATGATGTTGTTTGAAGGAGGAAAAAGTGATGCAGAAGAATTCTGTCTGGTATCTGCAGTTCACAAGGTCAGGTTTAGAAAGCACAGCATCCAGGATGCTGCTCCCTTTTTCCTGCTAATATTCAGGAGAAAAAGGAAAAAAAAATTTAAATTTGTTTCCAAGTAAATTATCGGGTGGGATAAACCAGGCAGCCTTGCCAAGGAGAGGTCACAAGCTGCTTCACAGACCTGTGCCATGATCTCTGATGGGCAAAGGAGTGGTGCTGCCAAGGGACAATAGGAAAAACTGGGATTGGGATATCCTCAGAGCCAGGAACACTCTGTGGAACCAGCCCTTGACCTCACCCTTCAGAGATGATCTGCTAGGGGCCAAGTTCCAGGTGCTTCACTGACAAAAGTCAAACTTCTGGTGGGCAAAAACCAGCATATCCCACATTTCAAAATAAAATTACAAAAAAACCCACAAACAAACAAAAAAAAACCAAAACAAAAAAATAGGGCAAAGAAAGAGATTCTTACTCAGAGCAAACCCAGAAACCCAGGGAACAGGAATGTTGTCACTGTAGGATGTGAGCAACCTCCTAAGAAGGGAAGGTAAAATCCTGAAACAGCACAGGGAGACAGGGCTGGATTTGCTCCTGGGGCTTTGGGAGTCTGAAACCGTTTCTAGAATAAGATTTTATTCTGGGTCAAGGATTTTCCATGAGGGATACATGCATGGACTTTGCTTCCAGAATTCCTGACTTTCCAGAGGAAAGGTACAAATTACATTTACATTTGTCCCTCTTTATCAGACTCCAGTTATGCTGAAATGCCAGAGACAGAAGTTTCACTTGTCTGGGAGAAATATTAAAGTCTATGGAACAACTGAGAATTGGAAATCAGAACTTCCCTGAGCTCTACATAATCAAGTTACCTGTTCACAGGGAGAGATGCAAGGTGCAGAGTGATTCCCTTGGCTCCAATCCTTAAAAAAACCCACCAAACAACTCAAAACCATATCAAGTTCTTTGTCTCCCATTGTCCCAAATATTTTGGCTCTTTTCTCCTTTGGCAGAGCCTGGTGCTTCAAATCCAGTGATTAAAAACAAGGGTGGGAACGAACAACTTCACAGATTCTTGAATAAAAACTTGGTGAGTATTTGACCCCTGCTCTCGTTGTTTTCACCTGGACAAGAACATGGATGGATAACTTTGCTCCCCAACCTGACTAGAGGAACAATCAGAGATTAGGGACAAATGTGGCATTTTGCTGGGTAGGAAGACAGTGCATCTTCATGACAACTCCTGAACTCAATGTTTCTTAATCCTAAAAAACAGTCTAAAAAAGCACTGGACTCTCACCTTTCCTTGCAAGGAAGATGCCACAAGCCCTTACCCCACTGCAGCCCTTTTGCAAGAACATCCAGTGATTATAAAGATCAGGACCCAAGCAGAAAGATTACTTGGGATTGAAAACAATCAGTTATTCCTTTCTAAAACAAAGTTCATCTCATTAAAAAAAGGTGACTGTATTTAATAAATAGTCATTTCTGACATAATAAGTTAAAAATTAATTTAAAATAAGCTAGTATAGAATAAATAGGCTTCAGTAAGTGCTTACATACATACATGCCTCTCTGAATGGTTTCAAGTGAGCTCATGTTTAAAAGAAGCAAGTTCTGTAATACTGCCAGAAAATCTTGTGCCTTCAGGAAATCAAATATTGCTTTTCTTAGCCCTTTAGGACTGGATTCAGTTCCCATCCACTAGGGAATGGGACAGATCTACCCATTATTGCTGTAAACCTGAGTAAAAAGAAACAATAGTTTGAAAGATGCCACTCACTGCAGGCAGAGTAAATGCCTGGAATTTCTAAAAAAAAAACTATTTTGACTTTGTTTCTCAGCAGGGTTTAAAAAATGCAACACATTTCCCAGAGCATCCTGCCAGACCAGAAGAGGTTTTTGGTTTGGCCTGGGAGTGATTTCTGAACTATCCTACCTGTACCCAGGTGTTGGCAGTTCCTTCCAAGGCCCTGCCCCTGGAATGCCCAATTGACTGTCCAGTGTGGAACCAGTAGCCCGTGGGCACCCAGGACATTCCCTTAGTTTTGCCACCCAGGAATTATCTAAAGGTCCAACAGGTAAGGCAACATCAGCCTCCTCTGGGGGAAGAACTGATGGGAAGAGCCCTTTGGAGTGGAGTGGATCCCTGCAAACTCCCAGGCACCCAAAACCCACAGGTGCTGAAGGAGGCTACTGAGAAGCATGCAGCTGACCCAAAACTCCTAAAACTGCCCTTGGAATTTCAGTTTTTGTGGTTGAAGCAGCTCCCAGAGGCATCTCTGTGTCCAAATGGCTGCGGCTGCCCCACGGCTCAGCCCTGGAGCTCTTTGGTTTGGGGCTGGAGCAGCCCCGGGTGCCCCTGCTGCTGCAGCCTTGGCTCTGCTATCTGGAGAGGTGGGAGCTGCTCTGGGACTGGCTGGAAGATGTGGTGACTCCACTCAGCTGGGAAAAGCCACTGTTGCAAGATTCCAGGCTCGACATGGATCCCCTGGGACAGGACAGAACAGATGTGCTGTTAGGAAGACTGCAATTTAGGGATTCCTCCCACAGATCAGCTCCCCCTCTCTAACACTTGCACAAAGTGCTTTTTGGCCCACTATTTCCCACTTGCTCTCTAAGAATCTCTGTGTCATGATGAAAAATTAATCAGTCAGAGACATTTTTTCCCATTTACAGCTATTCCTTGTCTCTGACTATTGTTCTGGGGAAAGGGACACAGCTGGAGCCTCTGGGAGCTGTCCCTGAGGAGAAAGGAAAGCTCCAGAGCACCCCAAATGCTTGTGAACCCAAGGACTCCACACTGCTGAACACCAGAGTCCCAACTCAGCATCTCCAGCTCCTCCTGCCAAAAGCAGCCTGGGCTCAGGAAGAACATGACTGGAGTGAGGGATTTCTGCTACTCTGACCCCACAGGACCTGGCCAGGTCACGCCTCAAGCAACCACCTTCAAGTCTGTTCTGCCCAATGCCTCCTCCAGCTCTAGGGAGAAGACAAGGACCTGCACAAGCTCAGATTAACAGGAGATGGGGAGGGGGCCAGGCACACCCTGCCAAGGCTGGCTGTTCACCTGTGTTCAGAAGTGCTCATCCTTCTCGAATGCCAAACAAAGTCATCTGGGAAATAGCCCAGCTGATATTTAAATTAGTCCAAAAGCAGCTTCTCAAAATATTCCCAACTAAGATAAAAACCCTCTTGAGTTAAAAATCTCCTGCTCTTCAGGCAGCTACAAGCAAGACCCAAAGCACAAATTTCACTGGTGGACACAGATTAAAGGGAACTTTTAAATACCTACAGCATCAGAGGAGACAGGTTGCAAAAATGCCACCAATTTTGTGTCCATCCCCTCCTCAGTGAAATACACCCCCTGTGAGGGTCTCTGATATCCAAGTGTTTAACTCACACTCAGTGCAACTTGTAGTAAACCTCTTGTAAATGCCCCACCTGAAGTCCTTGGAGGCCAGCACCTCGTAGTAGTAGATGAGCTTGCACTTGTGGCTGGAGCCCTGCAGGGAGGCCAGGACATCGTCCACGCGGGGGAGGCTGGAGCTGGAGCAGGGCAGGGGCCCGTGCATCCTCCACTGCAGGATGTAAAAGCCAGGCCAGCGTGTGACATGGGACCCCTGCAGGGAGGGAGGACACCAGGTGACCACGGGTGTCTGGGGGAATGGCTGAATGACCCAGCACAGGTGTCATTCACCTGTCTCACCTCCCTGAGACACAGTCCTGTAGTACCAGTAGGGAAAAAAAAATAAGCTTATTTAGCTTAGTTTCCATAAGAATTTTAGCTTGGAGTCTCTTTCCAATGACTCACTCTAAATAAGAATTTCCCACTTCCACAGGGTATCCAGAAAATGATCACAGAATGGTTTGGGTGGGAAGGGACCTTAAAGCCCATCCCATTCCAACACCTCCCACTGTCCCAGGCTGCTCCAAGCCCCATCCAACCTGACCTTGGGCACTGCCAGGGATCCAGGGGCAGCCACAGCTGCTCTGGGCACCCTGTGCCAGGGCCTCCCCACCCTCCCAGGGAACAATTCCTAATTCCCAATATCCCATCCAGCCCTGCCCTCTGGCAGTGGGAGCCATTCCCTGTGTCCTGTCCCTCCATCCCTTGTCCCCAGTCCCTCTCCAGCTATCCTGGAGCCCCTTCAGGCCCTGGCAGGGCTCTGAGCTCTCCCAGGAGTTTCTCCTCTCCAGGTGAGCACCCCCAGCTCTGCCAGCCTGGCCCAGAGCAGAGGGGCTCCAGCCCTTGGGGATCTCCCTGGGCTCCCCTGGACTCTCTCCAGCAGCTCCAGGTCCTGCTGCTGTTGGCCCCAGGGCTGAGGCTGGGGTCTGCAGATGGGATCTCACCTGAGTGGGGCAGAGGGGCAGAATCCCTCCCCTGCTGCTGCTGGGAATGACCACAGCTCCCCTTTCTAGCAGCTCCTGATTTCCCACACCATCAATTCCCTCCCTACCACCTGATTAGTCTGGAGCTCTCAGGACTCTGAAGCCATGGCAGGACCAAACCCCTCTGACCTGGATGCTCTCTCCTTCCCTGCAGACCAGAGGAGATTCCACCCGGCTGTAATCCACCCCCAGCACCCAGCTCTTGTCAATGAGCTGCACATTGTCCCCTGCACCAGAGGGACTTGGTGACGTGGCTTCTTTGTGGCTTGGCTCAGGAGCTCGTTTGGAGTGGAAGAGGCTGAACACCACATCTCCCTTCAGGATGTCAAAGTCCCAGGTGATGACAGATTCCCCTTCCAGGATCTCCACAAGTATCTAAGAAAGGAACAGAACAAGTCCCTTGCAGGGTCAGGTGCTCAAATGGCAGCAGTGTGTTTGCCCACCCACTCTGGGGCAAACAGCCTTGGCGCCACAATCCTCCAACTGGCTGATGGTCTTGATTCCTGAGGGGGATACACACCATTTCCCACTCCCAGCCCTACCACAGTACACCCACTCAGGTGTTTTTACCTTTTCTCCCCATATCAGAGTTGCTTGTAAATGAGTTACTTGTTCTAGGAAAACCTCAGTGGAACTGAGGCACAAAGAGCCAAATCAGAGTGACTCCCCATCAGAGAGCCCAGAAGACTGATTTGACACTGATTTGCTCCTTTTTGGGACATCCTGTTTCCTGGTGACTCATCAAGCACACATCTTTTATCACCCCCACTACTGTCCCAGCTACACTGCTGGGAATGGGAGCTGAATTATCAGAAGGGAAACTGTGTGCCCTTTATTTCTCCCAAGAGGAGGAGGAGAGGGAGGAGGAGGAGACTGGACCTTACAGAAGATCAGGCCATAGCAGAGGTAAGAGACACTGCTGCTCAAAGTGCTGTTCTTCACTCCCACACTTGCAGCTGTTCCCTTGCAGGAACAGCAGCTGCTGCCGAGCCCTCTGCTGCTGCCTGTGTTGGGAGCCCTTGGCTGCTCCAGTCAGCCCCAGCAGAGGGACACGTGTCACTGTGCCATCCCAGCACCTCAAACCGTGCTCTGTACCTCGTGTGGGGCTCCTTTGAGGACACTTGCAGAGTGGTAGATGGTTTCTGTCCACAGCCGGATGTGATCCGAGTTCTCTGGCTCGTCCTCGGTCTGGTACAGGGACTTGGGGACGAGTCCTCCTTCTGAGACAGTGCACTGCAATGGCCAGACAGACAAACAGGAGGCTCAGGATGTTCCAGCAGTGAACCAGAACTCTTGCTGGCTGTCAGACACGGGCTGACCCCTCAGCTGAGCCAGAACTGCACAGTGGCTCTGAGCTCACTGGAACTGCCGAGGTTTACGTGAGCTCCCTGTAGAGAGCTGCCCTCTGACCCTGCCCCAGCACTGCATGGGGCAGCCCTCTGGGCCCAAATGAACTGCCCTGTGCCCACAGCAGGAGCATGCTGGCCAGCACAGAGGCCTAACCCCTTCCAAAAGGCAGTGGGAGGCCAGGGTGGTGAGGAAGAGGGAATCAGTTCCAGATTGCTCCTGTACACGAGGAAGGAAAACCCACCATGCAGTCTCCTCCCAGGAAGTCTGGGATCACATCCTTGTCCACATAGTCCACCAGCCCTCCAGAGCCCTGGTAATTATTGCCACTGTAGATGAGGAACTTCTGCCGTGTGTTCTCATTGATAAAGGGACTGACCTGGAATACAAAAGGGCACACAGGACATGGCTTGTCACTGAGGGCAGCTGGGGATGCTGTCTGAGCCATCTCATGATGATGCTTTGGGCTCTACCCTGGAACATCCCAGCAGTGTGCAGAGCTTCACAGCTCTGAGGCACTTCCCAAAGAGAGGGTAACAAACTGAAAATGTTCTCTCTCTGTATCACCACTTCACAACACTTTCTGCTTCATGTAAAGGAAGTTTGCAGTCACTGCCTCACCTACACACCTCACAAGAAATGTAACAACCACGTTCTCACACTGCCAGAGCAGTCAGCAGGCATCAGGTCATCAGAACTAGATTTATTATTTACTACTTATCACTACTACTTATTACCCTTCAATGTCCTACAGCACGAGGTTAAAAGGTGTCTGTCTTTTCCAATCTATATGAAAGCCCACCAAGTTTGGGTGGAATGGGGAATTCCAATCCAGGTTTCTCATCCTGTCCTGGTGGATGGCAGTCACCAGAACCCAGTGAGCTACAGGCACCCCATGACCTGGTTCTGCTGTGGCTCTTCAGGAGCTCAGCATAAATTGCCTGGAGATTCTCCCTCCCTGCCTCTGCTGATGTAGCTATCTGTGAACCTGCACAAGTGCCAGTGATCCTGCAGAGCCCAGGTTTCACCCACCAGGGTCCAGAGCACAGGGAACACCCGTGGTGCTCTCACGATCAGGAGCCTCCCCAGGGTCTCAGGGTAGTTGTCCTCCACCACCTCAATGATCCTGAGCAGGGCCTTCACCCCAGGCCGCCAGAGATGCCTCATATTGAGCCCTTCCAAATCCACCAGGCACGTCCAGGATCTAAAATAAACAGGCAGAAAAAGGCCTGTCAGAACTCTATAGAGTGTGGTGGCTGCTCTGTTTAGGATCCACAGTAACCCCACAGCTTGTTGAGGATCTGGGGAAGCCAACAAGGGACACAAGCAGTTCCAATAAAAGCACATCTCCACTTGGGCAGCAGACACCTGAATCCAGGTGAGCTCCAGGTAACACAGACACCCAGCCCCAAGGGCAGGAACAGCTGTCACTCTGGAAGAAGGTGAAGGTATGCAGGCCTATTGCTAAAAATAATGTAAAAATGCATTTTAATTGAAGGTGGAATCTGGTAGACAGGCTCCTGTATTAAAAAAACCCAAAATTTGAAAGATGTGGATTAAAATCACCAAGACAGAAAGACTGAATTAATTTGAGATGGGATATAAAAATTATGTAAGGAAGGACCAATACTTGCTTTCCAATTAAACTGCAGGATTTGTCTGAATTCATGTCCAACAAATAAATTTATATATATCTGTGGTCCCCACCACAGCCCATAAGACACATTGCTGTCTGCACTGTAACCCTAAGGACACCACCCCAAACCACAGCAGCATCCTTCACCATGGCACTGAGAGTCTGCAAGGACTCAGGAAAACCAATTATAAACCAATTTATACTGACGTGATGGGGCGGCCAAAGATGTTGGTGTTTTCCTCACATCTCTTCTGTCCTTCCTCATTAATCGACAGAACCTGGAGTCAAAGACAGCACAGACAGGGATTAGCCTGAGAATGGCTGAGTAACCAGGATGACCCAGAGATATTATTTTAAAAAATACAGAAAGGAGAGGGCAGGGTTAGATGGGATATTGGGAAGGAATTGTTCCTTGGCAGGGTGGGTAGGCCCTGGCACAGGGTGACCAGAGAAGCTGTGGCTGCCCCTGGATCCCTGGAGGTGTCCAAGGCCAGGTTGGACGGGGCTTGGAGCAGCCTGGGATGGTGGGAGGTGTCCCTGCCCGAGACAAGGGGTGGGGTGAGATGAGCTTTAAGGTCCCTTCCCACTCAAACCATTCCAGGATTCCTGATGCACCACGACAAGACTTCCCAGCACCCTGAGGGGAGCAGGTGACACACAAAGGCACAGCTCACATGTCGCAGCAGGGATTCCTCTCCCAGGGCCTTCACCAAACCCTTGGTGTCCATCTGGCCAAGGCGGAGGATGTAGAGCGGCCGCCCATCTTCAAAACAAAGGGGTTAGAGAGGGCAGCACTTTAGTCTCCCAGGCTATCAATCCCATACCTTTTTTAAAAGCCACATTAAATTTTCAAAAAGGATAAAAATCACTGCCAAAAGCAACCTGTTCAGAGAAATTGCTTTGCACTGACTGATCTGTGCAGAGGTAATACAATTAGAGGGAAGCAGGGTGGCACTCGCAGGCAGTGAACTGCTTTGTTAACTTTAAAAACGTCAATACAGCATTCCTCAACATCCCAGGCCACAGGTGAGGTGCCAGGACCAGCTCCTCACCTTTGTCCTGGTAGTGCCACCCGCCAGTGTAGTACTCCTGCAGCAGGGCTGGGGGTCTCCAGGACTGCAGGATGAAATCCACCTGGTACTGCTTGCGCCAGGCCAGCGACTGGCACAGCATCTCCCGCGCTTTGTCGATGTTGAAGTCACGGGCACGCAGGAACCGCAGGATGTGCTCATCCTTGGGGATCTGCCAGGAGAGAAAGGCCCAGGATCAGCACTGGAATGTTCCATTTGGCCTGCAGAGGAGGCTGCAGTTGACACTATTTTTTAATCTCTTAAAACAAAGACAGCAAACATTAAACTTCCGCCTCCCTCTCTCCGTAGCTAACCCAGCTGGAAGCAGCAGAGGGTGCCAGAAGCACAAAAGCAGGACCAGCTCACTGACTGTGGGAAGCCCTTCCCCAGTGCAGTTCCCAGGAGTCCCAGCAAACCCTGGGCTGGTTGATGTTTCCCTTGGCTGGTTATCCACAAGGACCTCCAAAATACCATATGAAAGTCAGCAAGCTGCAAGTTCACCTGCCCAGGGCAAATCAGCCCAAGATGGCAAGAGGTAACAAACAGCCACAGGTAACACTGACCACACCAGGCACTGGAGGGGAACCACAACTGTGCAGTCTGAATGATGCCACCAGTACCAATTCCAGCTCTCATGCAGGCCCTGCTGCTGGTGTTTGAACAGGAAAGCTGCTGAGTGCTTGCTTCCAAAGACTTCCCTGCCCTATTACACCACAATAACTTTTGATGCAAATAAACCTAAACTACAACACACCCTCTCCCAATCACCCACCCCAGCACTAGCACTAATCCTAACATCACAGGCACAGAAGCTTTCCAAAGCAAGTCTGCAGAATGACTTAGTCCAGCCTCCTTCCAGACCTGCCATGTTCTCTTTAGCTGGAGAATCAAAGAAAGCTTGGCAGGAGTGCCAAGCAGCAGGAATTAACAACAAACCTGATGGATTCCACAGAAGTGCCAAATCTGCCTAAGAGCCTGTCAGCTGCAAATCCAACTGGATTAAAGCTGCATGTGCTGCTGGATTCCCAGTCCCTCATTCCAACTTCTCCAAAGTGCTTGGCCTCATTCTCTACAAGTTTGCATAAAAAATTCCAGCTCTGTGGAGCAGGGATCATTCTTTCCAGAGTATCCATATTGTGCTAGCACAACCCAAGCACTCCCAGCCCTGCTGGGACACAAACCCCCATGTTCAGGAGTCAAAGCTCCTTTGTTTGTCCACTGCCATGCTCAGGGAAACAGAAAGCTGGGTAGAAAGCAAGGCTGACAGCTGTGTCAGGAGGGAGCAATCTTGGATTCACAAGCAAGAGAGGTAACAATTGACTCACCTAAAGAAGGGGCAGAGTTCAGGCAGCCTAAACCAGTCTGAAAGCAGCTTAGGAGTGGGGGGAGATTAACACTGGTTCTAACACTGCATCTCTGTGTCCTGGAAAGGAGAGGGCAGCCTTCCCAAAGATGATCTCAGGAGTACTTAGAGGAATTCAGTATGACAGCAAGTTTAAAGCCAGCAGAGTGTTCATCAGATAATTCAGGTTTGTGTTCCTGCTGCTCAGAGGCAGCTGTCACTCATCAGACCCAGCCCAGACACCCACAACAGCTCCTGGATCTCTGCAGGAGAGGGGATGGCTGGTGGAAGGTTTGATGCTTTTCCTGTTTCAAACCTCCCCTGTGCACAGCTCCACGCAGGAGTCAAATTCAGCACTTCTGTTTGGACCAAAGGCAGGAAGCTCCAAGATTTATTTCACAGCAGAATTAGTCTTTTATCCTTGTCCAACCAAAGCAGTAACTCCCACATGCAAGAAAACGAAGGTTTAGTTTCAGCCTGCTTTTGTATTCCCTGGTAAAATGCTGCACTCTCTTGCATGGTGCAAAGCCTTGAACAGAGCTTTAAGTTGCTGCAAATTTAACACCGTTTACAGTTCCTTCAACTCTTCAGATTTTTTAAGCAACAACATATCTGATTGTAAAGGTAATGTCTGCTTTGGAAGGAATAAGGAAGGGATAGTGAAATAGGACAGAGGACAAAAATAAGAAGGGCCATTTTGCAAGAAACAGGAGATCTATTTTTTGATAATTTCTGACAGAGGAATAAGGCCATCTATGCTCTGAATTAAAAGAACAGATTGTCACAGCAAGGTAAGAGCCTCTCCAGGGACAATCCCAGCCTTGCAGGATAAGCTCCTGATTTTAGTCTGCTCTGTCAGGGAATCAGGAGAGGCAGCTGAGCAGTCAGGGGGTTCAATTTGAAGTTTCAGTAGCCAGCACCTCCCTACCCGTGTGCCCACATCCTCCTGGGGACAAGGCCCAGCAAGGCCACCCAAAGTCCTGAGGCAGCTCCACTGTCCCCTGAGCCCAGGACTCAGCTGCTCCCAGCACAGCACAGGGGACAAGGGCTGCCACTCCCTGCCCAGCTCCAAGCACCCAAGGGGCAGCTGTTCCATATTCTGTTTATGTGCTCTCACTTTCTCCTTCTCCAGCTTGATTCCCCAGCCTGTGACATGGAGGGGGAAAACCAACCTGTGGGTTGATGCTTTTCAACCTAAACAAAGGTTTAGGTGGTGCCTGTTCCAGCTGAAAGCAGGATCCTTGCAGGTCACACCAGGGACAAGGCCTCCCTCTCTTTGGGATGTCCTCCCATCCAGGAGCCACTAGGTGAGATATCTCCTACCCCAACGGAGCCCACACCACTTCACTGTTCAGGTCTCCAGGAAAACCTTCCTGTCCTCTTCTCAGAGCACAGTCACACCTGGGGACTGAACCCTGCCTGTCCAGTGCCTCTCATCTGACTGGAGGCTGGATCACAGGCAGACAGAGATCAAAAGCAGTTTCCAGCAGAGCCCCTTTTCTTGATGAAGCTGTTCCTGCTCACACAGCTCACTCACCACCCCTGGCTGGCTGGGAGCCCAGCCCCAGCTCCTTCCTCAGGGGCAGAGCATCACAGTGACACAACAGCAGCTGCCAGGGAGGTATCACAGCCCTTCAAGGGGCCCTTTGCTACATCAGGTGTGTGCATATATGCAATATTTTATATATATTACATATATTCCTGTAGTCTCTACCTGCCCCCAGCAGCCCCACTCTTCTGGTCCAAGTTATCCAGCCTGCTGTTGATGCCACTGTACACCGATGGCCTTGGCCAGCTCTGGCAGATGTTTGGGGTGGGAATTTATCAGCTCCTACAGTTCAACAGCACTGTTGGTGTCTGGAGCTTATCAGCTGCTGGGAGCCTCCCACACTGCCCCAACACCAACTGTTCTCTTCAGACTGAGGTTTGCTGGGAGCTGTTTCTCCATCCACATTCCTGGGTACCAACAAAACTCACTTGGCTGCTCACACACAAGGGAACTACATTTCAACAGCAGCAGAACAATACCACTAAATCTTTGTTACATTTTATTTCTACAGAGGTGATTCACAGTCACTTTTCCAAGAAACAGCATTCTAAATCATGTTCAGACTCAGATGAGACATGCTCAGCTCTGAGACATACAGCACAGCATGCAGGACTGGCAAAGCTCCTTGTAAGCAGCAGCGTCTTTTGGAAAGGCCAGGTAAAGAAAAAAGAATGAAAATCTTCCCAAACCTAGGAATGCAGAGCGTCTCACCTAACCCATCCTGACTGAGCTGATTCCTCCTAAGCCAGGAAGCTTTTACTGTTGAAACTTCATCCAGCTCTTCTCTGCTTCCAAGTAAGATCACTTGCTCCTCTTGCTAAGTACTCTTTATCTGCTCAGCCCACCCAACTACTCTCTCTGGTGCTATGCTTGGTCCTTCTTTCCTTCCCTCCTAATCCCCCTCCATCAGGAAATCTGGAGTTAAACCCCTTTTGAGGCATTCAAGCTGCTCTAGACTCTTTCTTTTCCCAGCCACATATCAGTTGCCCTGCTGGTCTGAGAGAGATTTTCCTTTACCCAAAAGGAGCCCAGGTAGCTTCTGGACATTCCAGCAAGCAGAAACACACCTGTCCTTCACTTCCTGTGCCACTTCTCAGGGAAAAAAATCAGAGAACTGTGGAATTTCCTTGAGCAGGAAGAGACTCAAGGATCATCCAGTCCAACCCCAGACCCTGCACAGACCCACAACAATCGCACCCTATGCCTGAGCATTGTCCTAGAGCTCTGGCAGCCTTGGGGCTGTGCCCATTCCCTGGGGAGCCTGGGCAGTGCCCAGCACCCTCTGGGGGAAGAACCTTTCCTGGTCTCCAACCTAAACCTGCCCTGGCACAGCTCCAGCCATTCCTGTCCCTATCACAAAGCAGAGATTGCAGCTGCCCCTCGGGAGGAGCTGCAGCCCCAGTGAGCTCTGTGCTCCATCTCCTCTCCTCCAGTTGAACAGACCAAGTGCCCTCAGCCTCTCCTCCTATGGCTTCCCTCTGAGACCCTTCCCCACCCTCATGTTCCTCCTTGGGACACTTTCTGACAGCTTTAGATCCTTCTGATATCCTGATATCTGAGAATATCTGATATTCTGATAATCCTGGTGTCCAGGATTAGAGGTGAGGTCACTCTGGCACAGAGCAGAGCAGGACAGTGCCTGCAGGGCACGGTGACCCTTTGGACTGCCAGGGCTGACTCATGCTCAGCTCAGCATCCACCAGGACCCCCAGGTCCCTTCCTGTGGTGTCACACTCCAGCCTCTCATTGCCCAGTGTGTTTGTGCATCCAGGGTTCCCCATCCCAGCTGGGGTTCCCCCCGGATGCCCCTCAGTGCCTGCCCTACCCACCTTTCCCTTGTGAGTCTCCTGGAGCCACTGGCGCAGGCGGATCAGGCAGCTCTCCTGCAGCGGGGTGAGCTGGCCCAGGTAGCGCTCGATGTAATCCGCGTCCAGTTTGTCAGCTGCAGGGAGAAACAACAACTCAGAGCACACTGGCACAGCCAGCAGGGAGGGCAGCAGGTGTTTCTACACATTGGGTTCCCTATGATTTACATGGGATTTGCTCAGAAGCCCCATCCCAGCAGTCTGAGGGAGGAAGGGGGGCAGGGATGGAAGGACACTATTCTGGTGACTGGGGCATGAGGCCCCAGGCAGCACATGCTGTATCACAGCTGGATCATTCCCCCTGTCTCTGATATTCCATTCAGCCCTGAACTGCTCCAGGAGGAGCTTTAAAAGATCTATCATGAGCTCTGGCACTCAGCTCAACTACTCCAAAACTTGGGCACTTCCATCTCCACGTGCCCTAAATCTCATGCACAACTGCAGTGACAAGTAGCTTGCTGGAAAACCAAGCCATTATTCTACCCAGGGACACCAGAGACTAAGGGAGAACAACAGCACATTTCTGACAGCCAGGGAAGATTTTGGCAGGAGGAAAAGTCCTGTGCACACCAAGCAGCTCAGTGCTCCTCCAGCTCAGACACAAAGGACAAGGGGTTGGTGACTGCCAGCACTGAGGGACAGAAGGATGTGCCAGCACTGAGGGACAATGGGAAGTGTCACCCAGGGCTGGCAGCTGCCAGCCAGCACAACAGGGTAGCTGGGAGGAGCAGCCCAGGCAGCAGCTGGGGTGGAAGACACAGGGAGCAAGGCTGGGGACAGAGCTGCTTTGTCAGGCACACAGGTCTCAGTAGATGCCATCACCTACAGAAGGAGGCCTGGACATCCACAGGATAAGCAGGATAACAAAGAAATTGCATTTGGAAGTGCAACATCCCATGGAACCTCCAGAGCTAGCAAGGTGAGGAGCAGGCCCAGGGAAGTTAATCCTGTCCTGAACAGGAATATGGGCAGAAAAATAAGGGCTCTTCTTCCCCTTCTGCTAGCTGGGACCTGCCACTCTGAGGCCAACATTAATCTCAAACATTTCTCCTAATCAGCTTCTCAATGGATTCCATATTTTTCCAGAAAAGCCCCCAGAGAATGTCAGGTGAGAGCAGAACTACTGATATTTCCAAATTCCAGGCTTTTTGCCTAGTTACACTCAGCAAAACAAGTGCTGCCTTTCCATCTCAGGAATGACAACAACTGTTTCCATTACAACAGCTCTGGATTCAAAGGTCCCTCCTATTTCTTTTCTCCAGAGAAGTATTTTATTTAGTCTAGAAAATATCATCAGACCAACACACGGAAAGATAAAGTTTGTTTCGGGCATTTTTTGGGAAAAATGCATTAGGAGACATTCCTCAAGTTTGTCTTGGTCTGATACAGGGCCAAAAACCTCTAAACCTGTCCCCAGGAATATTAATTTTGGAACAGATAAAATATTTAATTCCAGCATACTGAAGACCTTAAAGGGCTGATCAAACCTATTTTTTTTTTTCTAAGCTCCAAAACATACTGCCTGCATAGCTTTTTTGTTTTAGGGGAAAAAAAAAAGTTCCATTGCTTATTTTTCTTGAAAAAAGAAAATAGCTTTCCCTCCTCCTCCTCCCCCACACTCCAGATGAAAAACCTGATGCCAAGAGAAATTGAAATAAGCTCCGTGGTCAGTGCTGCGGTGCCTACCGTCAGGGCTGGCAGGCTCTGGGGGCGGGCAGGGGCTGGCAGCCGGCTCCCTGCTGCTGCCAGCAGCCCCGGGATCCGGCGGGGTGGCACCGGGGGCCCGCCCCGCCGCCGGGGCTCGCTCTTCCTTCGCCGCGGGAGGGCTCCAGCGCGGGATGAACGTGATCCCTTGGGAGATCAGCTCCTTCAGGTAGTGCTCAATCACCTCCTTGCCCTGAAGGGGAAAACTCTCGTTAGGAGAAAGCTTCCCCCAGAGCCAGCAAGGCACTGGAGTTTCCTCGGGACGGATGATGAATGCTGCTGAGGATAAACAGAGGGGAAATCTCTCCTTCCATCCCCCATGATCCTGTCAAAAAACCTCCAGTATCAAAGCCCCCTGTAAATGATGAATTACACTAATGGCCAGGCAAATCCCAGTTATGGATGCAGCTGCCTTTCTAACACTTTTACCCCATCCTCCTGCTCCCAAACCAAATTAGCTGCCCTGTTCCTCTACAGCCCCAAGCCACTGACACAAGCCCAAGCTCTGGAGACAGAGGGGGTGATTTTCACCCAGAGCTTTCCCTTCCTGCACAAGGAGAGTGCTCTCAGTGTCCAGCAGCCCTGCACTCACAGCACCCAGTGCTGTGCTCCTCTGGCACAGCCTGCTCCATCCCTGCACAGCCACATTCCAGCCAGCTCTGTTCTGTTCTGTGCTCTTTGCACACTGGCTTTGCCTTCCTTTGCCCAGCTGAGGGAGTTCAGAGCCGTAAGCAAGAGCACAAAATTACACTGGGTCTGTTTACAGAAAGGCAAATAGAGGGCCTGGGATGTTCAGGCAGCCAGGGAAGCCCACCTTACCCGTTTGATGTTGGAGGTGTACTGCTTCATGGCAATTTTTTCCACAGTGCTTTCAAAGCCAAAAAAGGATTTGATGTCGAGAGAGGCTGACTGCTCAAAGCAGGTCCACTCCTCGTTCTCAGGGTGAACCTGCAGCCAGGGGAACACACAGGACGGATGGTGGCAGATGGCTCATGGCCCTGGCACCACACTGGCTGTTCAACCTCCACAGCTACAGAGAGGAGGCACTGCCAGACCTGGAGTGACCAGCCAGGTTCATTCCTGCTGTGAGAACCCTTTGTGAACTGGACATCCAGACTTTTGTTAACCAACATTCTTCACATGCACAAGGAAATCAAGATTTAAACCCATCCCTGCCCCAGCAGACCTGAACTTTAGTAGTAAAAGCTGTACAAAAATAGCAGTGGAATTGCCCACTTTAAGCCATCATGTCAAGGTCTCCTTATGGAAAGACAGGGATGGCCTTGTGGAACATGCAATTAAAACTCCTACATCTGCAAAGAAGAAAAATGCAAACCAGGTTTCTTTTTTAGTTTAGGATGGGAGACTTGGCCTTCTCCCCAAAACACTGGGGACACGGCAGAGCAGGGAATTTCCCCACTCTTCAGCTCAACACACACCTTTCCCCTATTTCTCCTCTGTTGCTCTATAGATGGTAGAATCCTTCCTTCTTTTAAACTTAACCCTTTCCTGAGAAGGCTCTGCCTTCTCTCTGCAGGTGCTGCTGTTCACAAACTGACACGAAAGAAAAACAACTCCAGCCCCCACACAAAGATACCATAAAAGACAAATTCCCTGGAGAGATATTAAGTAACTGCAGGAGCAGGATCATATTTCTCCAAGTTGCCTCAGAGAACACTGCAGAAAAGGAAAGATGAGAATAAACCTGCTTCCGGTGCACTCTGGCAGGGAAAAGGGAACTGGTAAAAATAGAGCAGGGAACCATCTTGAGGATGCAGCCAGCAGCTCCCACCCTGTTCCCCTCAAAGCCCAGATGCTGACGTTTCCTTCCTAAGGACACAGCCAAAATCAGCGAGTATAACAATCTCATAGTTGACCTAGGAGTATTTCAGACCTGTCAGTGCCTTTGATGATGATGGAAGTTTAATTTACAGCATTTTTTTGGATGTTTTAAGCAGTTTTTAGGAAGCCTCATGCAGCCATCAAGGGACCTCTGGCCCAGGAACACCCTCACCATCCAAAATGTTCCCAGCTTTTCCACTCCTCCTCTTGCCTGAAGCTCCTCACAGCCTCCTTACTCCCAAGAAACTGAGCTGCTGTCCAGCTGCCAAAAGGGCAGGCAAGTAACAGGAGCTGGACATCTGTGTAAGGAACAGCAAGCAGGATCTGACTGCCTCCAGAAACAGCTGAGCTATTTCATGGTGACTGGGCCCTCAGAGCACCATTACAGTGAAACAGCACAGAAACAGCCACAGAGAGAGGCAACCCAGGCCACAAATAAGGCTCAAGTCCTTTCTCCAAATCTTTAGAGCATGAAAATAATGGCAAACAAGGTGCTAAAACTTTCACTTATTTGTGGGCAAAATAAATGGGCAGACTTCACTCAGACCCTTATAATAATGAATAGTAAGGGTTTAATTCTAGATTTCCAGATTTATAGACATGCCTAAACTCTAGATGTTTTTGTTAGCCTGAATTTCAATCAAAAAGAAACTGAGGGAATACCAGCAGTTCTGTTATCCACTTTCATTCCAAGCAGGGAATCAATAAGAATCAACAAACAATCAATCTGAAGATGTTTCTCAAGCCTTATCAAATCACAGAATGGTTTGGATGGACCCACAGAATCACACAGAATCACTAGGTTGGAAGAGACCTTTAAGATCATTGAGACCTTAAAGCTGTTCTTGTTCCACACCCTGCCATGGGCAGGGACACCTTCCACTGTCCCAGGTTGCTCCAAGTCCTGTCCAACCTGACCTTGGACATTTTCAGGGATCCAGGGTCAGCCACAGCTGCTCTGGGCACCCTGTGCCAGGGCTTGCCCACCCTCACAAGGAAGAATTCCTTCCCAATGTCCTATTTGTATGTGGGAAGCCATTCCTCCTGGTCTTGTCTTTCCAGGCCCTTCATCCATAGCAACTGAACAATCCCACACCCAGGACCCACCAGCCTTTCCAGCCCCAGTCTCTAATCCCAGCCCAGCATTGCAGGGTTGCTCAAACCCATTCAGGCACCTTCCCCCTGTGCGAGTGCACAGTTCCCCCCTCCCAGCACAGCCAGCCCCAGCAGGACTCTCACCGAGTAGCTGCAGGTCTCCCTGACCACCACCCGGTTGGCAAAGGTCTCGTTGTGGGCTTCGATGCGGAGCGTTCTCTCTCTCCAGTTCACTGTGTTCTTCTGGATGAAGAAGACATACTCTACCCCTGCAATCTGAAGAGGAGGGGGAAACACAGACAGACAGGAGCATTAGGAGCCTTTGTCTATCTGAGCCAGCAAAGAGAATGCAGGCTTCTCTGCTCCCAAGGTTCCACCTGCCTTCTTCAGCAGCCTGGGAGCATCCACATTCAGCTTGCAGCTTCGCTCAATGACATGGATGGCTCCGTCCTCACTCTTGGATTCGTGCAGGATTTCACTCCCCAGGAAGACTGGGATCTCTGGGCATGTAGGAAAGCGTTTCTCATAGGCCTAGAAGAGAAAATAAAGTAAACTTCAGCATCTGGGTAAATCAATTTTAACTCTTTCTGAATTAATTCATTTCCTTACAGTGCAAGTCCAACAAAACCTGAGGCCCCTGAACCCTGGAGTTGGCCCCAGTTTTCTCAGAAATGAAGTTCAAGCAGAGTAGGAAAAAGCAGGGACAGCACCATATCAGTCACCAGCCAAGCATGTCCTAACATAACTTTTCCTTCACACGTGAAGTAGAAACAGAATTCTGTTGCTGAAGAATACTAAGAAGGGAATCATCACTTCAACAACAGGAAGCTCCTAACTAGAAAAAGCAAACAGAGCTCTGCTGATTTCTGCTGGCTAAAGACTTGAATATTATAATTTCTGGGTCAATACTGTCTCTATGAAGCCTTAAAATGTGATGTGCCAAACAGTCCTTGTTGCCCTAAACTATCAAAAATAAGACCACCAATTATTGGCTACTCACTTTGCCTCAATTTATCCATTTCTAAAACAACTCTGTCCTGGCTCTGAAATCTTCCCTGTTCTATTAGGACATCCCTCTGAAAAGCCCTTTCTGCAAAGCTTCTTTAGCAGCTCTAGCAGAAATCCAGTCTTCCCTGGCACTTGCAGTGAAGCTCACTTGCATGAACAGTACCTACTGCTCCTTCCCTAACTTCATCTCTTACTATATTCTAAGATGTTTGCAGGATGGAATGTTTTCCTTGGATTTCTGAAAGACCTCTTGCATGTTGTGCTGCTGTTGCAAATATGTGCTCGCTGCACAAGCTGCCCAGAATTCCAGTGCAGCTGTTCCAGGAAGAGAACCTGTGCTCTCCTTCCACTGGACTCTCAGAGCTCAGATTTCCATCGTAAGATCTTCCTGCCATCGTTCCAAGGCAATTCCTCTAGGAACTGCTGTCATCTTCCCATCTTCCAGAAGACACCACCATTTTATAAAGCACAGAAAAATAAAAATGTTAATGAGTTCTCTGCCCCAAAAGCAAACATTGATGTGCTGATGCTGGAGCTGGGCTGTGCTGTCAGCTCCCCGTTAGCACAGCCATGCAAAGCCTGGATGCCCCTGCACAGATTCATGTCCCTGCTCCCAAAATAGCCCAGGCACTTAAGGACACATTCCATATCTCCTGCTCCCGGACCTCTGGATGGGAAAGGAGCTATTTCAGATTATCGTGTTGCTCCAGTATCAGGAGGGAAGTGCAGGCAGCTGCCAGCTGGAGTCCTGGCCAGAACAGAGCACGCAGGTTTGAAACCCTGCTCTCCCAGTCCCTCAGCAATATCCTGCTTGCTTTGCCACACTTCTCAGAGAACCTTTCTCATGTCCTTCGACCTGTGCTTTTCACTCCTCATCACAGGAATAACAAAACCAGTTTAGATAAATGCAAAATTCCCATGGTAAGTGACTGTTTCCAACGCAGAGCCACCTGGCTCCAGCCAAGAGAAGCACACTCACTGCTTTAAGCAGATTAATTTTTTAGGATGGAAGTTCACGGATCTGTGTCAGGCATTGCCACAGGACACTCCAGGCCCTCCTCTCCTGGTGCCCTCTGCTCCAGGACCACCTGGCAGGAGGGCTGCACACCTCAGTCCCTGCTCTCCTCTCTGCACTTGCCAGCCCATTCATCTGCTCAGGCAGAGTCAACACTTCCTATTTGTGCTTCCACCTGCCCTCTCCCAACCCTCCAGACTCCAAACCACCACCCAGGGCTATCCTCAGGCCAAAACCTTCACCTTGCTGGTCTCTTCTGTTCCAGCACACACAAAACGTATCTCTTCAGGCCACCCATTCTAAGTTACTGGAGTCCTGAGTGGTTGGGCAGTGCATGCTGAGAACACCTTCAGAGGCCTCTGGGATACCAGAATATTTAGCAACTGGTTTTGAGCAGTTTGTCCCATGTCACTCCATACACATGCCCTTAACACACTTGCAAAGAAGTGTCACTGAAAGCCCTTCCCTGAGAGAAGCTGCCCCAATTAACTCCACAGCAAGGGTGGACAGCTTGCTAGGACAATGGGAAAGGGTCTTAAACTAAAAGAGGACACACTTAAATCAGATGTTAGGAAGAAATTCTTCCCTGTGAGGGTGTTGAGGGCCTGGCACAGGGTGCTCAGAGAAGCTGTGGCTGCACCTGGATCCCTGGAAATGTCCAAGGAAATGTCAGGCTGGACAGGGCTTGAAGCAACTTGGGACAGCAAAATGTGCCCCTGCCCATTGCAAGGGGATGGGACTGGATGAGCTTTTAGGATCTCTTCCCACCCAAATTATTCTGTGATTCTGCTTCTTCAGGGGTGCAGCTGTGCCAGGAACATTTGAGGGAGTTTCCAGACAAACAAGAGCTGTTCTAGTGGGACCAGGACCCTCCAAAAGGCCTCACTTGATCAGCTTCACCTGTAAATGCCCCCTCACCATGGAGAGACCACAAGAGCCAGTCTGAAGCCACCACTGAATCCAGGTGCCTGTAGCTCCCATCTGAAGGTAAACCACTGGATCTCAACTCCCAGCTGCTTCTTTGTCCATCAAGTATAGACTTGATCCAGCTGGAAACAGTCTCCCTAATAAACTGTCATTAGATCCAGCAAAACTAAGACCAGGACTAAGAGAGCAGCCACTTTTTCAGTCAGCTAAACAACATCTGGAGCAGGAAGAGAGGCCAGGGCAGAGGCACATGGCAGTGCACAGCCTGGTGATATAACTGTAACACCAGCCCAAACTCATTGCCTAAATAGGGGGAACACTGCCATATTTGACAAAGAATCCATATCCACATCGATATTAAGTCCTTTGCTAATCTTCTTTGCACAACAGCTCTAAAAATACAGCAGGGAAGATGCCTGAGATCACATGAAGGACAGCTGAAGCCCCATGCTGCAGACACAGCAAAGCTGTTCCCACAGCACCCAGACCTTCCATCCCTGCAGACTGAGCTGAGCAGGAGAGCACCCAGCAGAATCCTCTTGCCAAAATCATCCTCTCTATGCAACAGCCCATTGCTGCAACAGGAAAACTGAGGGAGGTTATAAAGACAGAGAAATACTTAATTCTTTTCAAACTATCACAAGGCTGTTATGTCTCCTCCTCTGGAATTCTGCAGAGTCCAAGGTGGACAACAGAACATCCCAGAGAAATTAAAGGCACAGAGTATTTAGTGTTGTTTTAATGCTTTGGCTGCCTGCACTTGCTCTTTCAGCCCCTTCCTGCAGGAACTCTGCACTGAGCAAGATACAGGAACTAGGATTTGTCTCTCCCTTCTGTACTTCTCCTTTCCCAGAAGGAACAACAGCAGTGTCGTGCTAGCAGTGTTGTGTGTTAAACTGTGGGTCTGCACTTCAAACTGACACTGGGATGACTAAAGTATCCAACAGAATCAGATATATATCAAATATATATATATAATAAAATTAATGGTGCCATGAAGCCACTCCCTCCCTTCCTGTAAACCCCACTGGGATTAACACCTCATACCAAAACCAACCATTCCACAAGGGGTGCTGGCTCAGGCCCACCAGTGTCCTCCCATAAATCAAGCTGGTTTTTCCCAGATTTCTGGCCAAAGAATTGTTGCAAAAATCAGTGCTTTTATTGTAGTAGACTGTGACCAACAGTTCAAAGAGTCATTTAAATCTCTGCAATCCTGAAACTGAAATTACACATTAAATTTCATGAGAGGGCTGAGTGAAGACAGAGGAACCCAGAACCTGTTTGAACTCGTCAAGATCTTTTGCTTAGAGCTATAACCAATTGTTTTTGGGTGCATCTAAAAGAAAAAAAAAAAAAAAAAAAAAAAAAAAAAACCAAAAAAAAAAAAAAAAAAAAAGCATTTAGATACAGTTCATTGGAATGAAAAAATTCAAGAAAGAAGAAATTAAATAAAAACCCAACAAGTGAAACGATTTCTAGCTGAAAAGTTAAAACATGCAGGAAGGTCAAAGATCTCAAAGGTTCAATAGTGTCAGATTTTCCTTTCACACTGAAGAGAGCCCAAACTAGGATAAGGATATTTCCAACTGGTTACAGTGACCTCTGCATCCCAACAAAGACCCCTTAATGCCATTGAAGCTGACAAATTATTAATTACAAGGAGCAATCATTAACAGTGATATGGCTGACTGTGAAACCACCAGAGTGCTCTGACCAAGCTTTTGCCCTGTGATCTCTTGGGAAATACATCCAAGTGTATTTACCAGAGTTACCTGCTCTGGTAAATATCCATCCCAAATGGATTATGGACCAACACCGAAAAGTGAAAATCAGCTTGTGAGAAGAGAGCTTGAGAACAATGCAAGAAGCCATGCTTGGGAGTGTTCTGAACTGTACAAATTCTCAGTAACCAGTACAAACCCCACATCTGTGAGAAGACTGTACTCCAAAGGTCAGCTAGAAAGATGCCAAACAAGAACAAACTATACAAAACCACAAGTGTCAAACCCCTGAAGTGACATTCTAAAGCCTCACAGCCACAGAGGAAAGAGGAAATTGCCCTCCTTTACACTCCCCTACTCCACCTGCTCAGCCCCTTCCCCTGCAGAGGAGGGGCCTCTGCAAGCCCTGCACATTCCCAGCCCCAGCGTGTCAGAGATTCTGACAGTGCCAGAGTGCTGCCCTCCACTTTAGGAGCTGTCACTGCTGCTCCCACAGGAGCCACAGGACATGGCCAGCAGGCAGGATCTTTCTAACAGCTACTCCTGTTTCTCCTTGGCAGGGTTTTCTAGGAAGTGACCTTGAAATCAATTTACACCACAGAGACCTCAGGAATGCACAACAACAGGGACCTGTAACCACTGAATTACTGCAGGAAACAAAACACCTCAGCAGCCAAACCCCCTGCACACTTCGAGGCAGCTCCCTCCAGCCTGCTGGGTCCTGAGTGGTTTATTCCAGAGGCAGCTTCTGTGAGATGGGATCTCCAAGAATACAAAAGCTGTGTGTGTGTGGGGAGGGGGGGGAACTGCATTGTGTGGAGCACAAAGAAACTTAATTGTGATGCACGTGATGTAGA